GGTCCAGTCGACATTCCCAAATGAGGATTCCTTTTTCCCCCACATCCATGCCAACACTGAGTGTTTTTGTACTTTGTGATGTGTGTCAGTCTTACTGGTATGAGATGGTATTTCATTGTTTTAATTTGCATTTCCCTGATGATAAAAATGATATGCAGCACTTTTTCAAATACCTTTTGGACACGTGTATGCATTCTTTGAGGAAGCTTCTATTGTTTCCCAAATTTTTGATGGAGTTGTTTTGCTGAGTTTTATCACTTGATCACATGACTTTCCATTAATCACTGATTTGCTCGAGCGGGTGCCAGTAACATCTCCATTTGTCCCTGTCACGTGCTAGTGTAGCCCAGTGGCGTCTCTTCGTTCTAGGAACACGAGGAGCCTCAAACCGATCATTCATGATCTTGATAAAGAAGTCTGACCATCTGGTAGGTGGGCGACCACACAGTCTTTTGACATCCCGTGGAATCCAGTCAGTAACGGCTCTAGTCCAATGGTCATCTCCAAATCTCATTACGTGTCCAGCCCATCTGACTTTCGACACCTTGGCAAACGAGTCAGCATCCCTGATTCTTGACCATTGACGGAGGTCGGAACTCCAGATTCTTTCTCTCATTTGAGTCAAGCATGATACTCCAAGCATAGCTCTTTCGATTCCTCTTTGGGAGACCCAAATAGTGTTCTCATCCTGTGTTCATAGGGCCCAGGTCTCTGAGGCATATGTTAATGCAGGAAGAACAGTGGAATCGAAGAGATGTGCCTGGATCATTTCTCTGCACTGCTTTGCGAGCTCGGACGTTTGCTTGCGGTTGCCTGAGGCATGCGCCAAGCCACGTTGGCAAATAAGCTCAAGAGTTTTAGAAGACAGGCATTTTTTTGTGGCTATCTCTTTCTTGGCGTTCCCTCGCACAATCATGGAGGTGCTGAACCAGTCAACTGTATTCCTCATCAATGTTGTCAACGACATCTTCCCATGTTGCAGCAATAGTAACCAAATACTCTTTGGCTGAGTTTTATAAGCACTTTATATATCATTGGCTACAGCCCTTTACTGGATACGTGGTAAGCAAATCACGGATCACGGTCCTCCCGTTGTTCATCAATTTGCTCGAGCAGGCCCAGTAACGTCTCTATCATGAGACTTGTTGTTACTGTGTTTGGCATATCAAATATGTCACGGGGAGCTTGCCAGGCTCTGCTGTGTGGGCAAGATACTCCTGGTAGCTTGCCGGGCTCTCCGAGAGGGGCGGAGGAATCGAACTCGGGTTGGCCATGCTGGCTGCATGCAAGGCAAACGCCCTACCCGCTGTGTTATCGCTCCAGCCCGGTAAGCAAATATTCTCTCCCAAACTGTGGGGTATCTTTTTATTCTGGTAATTGTTTCCCCTTCAGTGCACAAGCTTCTTTGTTTGATTAGTATCATTTTTGTATCTTTCTTTCAGTTTGCTGATCAATAGTTTCAAACCATTGAAAATACCCTGGCTTCAATATCATGAAATGTTCTGCCTATGTTTTTCTCAATGTAATTTATGGATTTAGGAATTATAGTCATGTCTTTAACCTATTCTGATATGACTTTTATGCATGGTGTGATGTAGGGATCTGACCATATAACTTATTAAAATTCATGCATATAACTGATGCCTTTTCCCCAACACCATTTGTTGCATTTTCCTTTTTCCACTTCTATTTTTTACACTTTCCTAGTTCTACTTTATATTTTTTGCTCCTTTACTGAAGGTTAGTGTTCATATACCTGAGGACATGCTGAACTCTCTACTGATGTAAAAGTCTACCCTTATTCTAGTACCATAATATTTTTCATAGGTAAAGCTTTATATTGCAATTTGAAGTTTGGGAAGGAGAAGCCTCCCATCTCCTTTATCCTAGGATTGCTTTGGTTATTCAAAAAGGAAGAAGTTAAACTCTCACTCTATGCAGATCACATGATACTATAGAGTCTTTAGAAAATCCCAAAAACTCCACATAAAAGGTCCCCAAAACAATAGAACTGTATGGTAAAGTGGCAGATTACAAAGTCAGTGCATATAAATCTATAGCTTTCCTATATACAAATAATTTAATAGACAAAAATTTTTAATTCATTATCATTCACAATTATGCCTCAGAAAATGAAGTACCTGTAATCAGCTTAAGAGGTTAAAGATTTATACCAAAAACACCATAAAGCACTACTAAAAAAAATAAAAGGATCTGGGACTATGTTTCTATTTCCCCTGTTCATGAACTAGAAGGATTAATATTGCAACTCTCTTTAAAGGAAAATAACAGAGTTTAAACACTCAACCTCATAATACAGAGAGCATGCATGTAGAGAAGAAGCAACAGACATACAAAAATATGGAATTAGAAACAAGGATACCAGCTACTCTAAATATGCTCCATACACTCAAGAATACAAAGGGAATCATGACCCTACTGAAAAAAAGTGGAAGACTGAAGGTCCCACTCAGAACTTGATAGATTTATTGAACTGAAAATACAGTATCTGAAATTAAATACCTACTCGATAGATTTAGCAGCTTAGATACTATAAAAAAGAAGACTAATGAAAATGAAGCCTTAGCAACAGGAATGATTTTAAATTGAAGTCACAGAGAAAAAAGAAGGCAAAAGCTATCAAGTCTGTTACTTCCAACATTAAACGTAGATTAACATACATATGATTAAATTTCTGAAGGGAAAAGGAAGAAAGCAAAAATATCTGAAGAAATATTAGCAGAAAATTTTCCAAGTTTGGTCAGAACTATACACCCACAAATTCACAGAACTCAAAGAACACCAAAACAGAATTGACAAAGAAAACCACACGAAAGGGCCAGAGTGTAGGTCCAAGGGCAGGAGCTTTGCATAGTTGGGGCCCATATCAATTCTGATATCACAGAGTGTGAGATTGAAAAGAAAAGCACAGGAACGCAGGGCTCGTGCATTCAGTGGCTGAGAACCACTCCCCTGGCTGGCCCACAGCAACAGACGGGACAAAGGACCAGGGGAAGGGAGAAGCAGGGGCCCAGACTGGTTGGTAATTAATTTATTTCTCTCTCCTCCCAAGCATAGTCTGATCTCTCCCCTTACAGCACAATCATAGTCGTAGTTTTGGTCTTAATCCCAGTCATCATAGTTCCCTCATCCTCATCCTCATAGTCCTTATCTCCATTATAGTCCCCACTCTCCCCTTACAGCATAGTTATAAAGAAATTGTGAAGGGTGGAGGTACACACAGGTGGGATTGAACATTATCATAACAACCAACAGAGGTTAAGCCACTTCTTCAGGGGAAGTTCTGGGAAATTAACTCAAGGATAAAATCTCATCTGGGGATTCAGCACTCCAGATTACTAGGAGATCTGCTCAGTGGAGGGATTCCATCTAGGGTGTATTGTTTTCTCCTTTCCTCAGATAGTAATCCATTTAACCAATCATATTAAATTTACTTCTTATAATATTTCTAGTCATTTTGGATGAATACAGTAAGAGATATATTAAGCTTAAAGGTTGGCTCTTCCTGGGGACATCTTGATATATATTCCAGACCACAGTCCTCAGGCCAGATTAGTCTTTCCTTAACCCAGCAGGGTCCTTACTAGATTACTTCTTTTTGGGTTATGACAGAGACTGTTCCATGACCATACTCTTAACTTACATATTTCTTACGGCTCTTAGCTTGTCCCTTTCCGATGCCAGGGTAGCTTACAGCTTATCCTTGGTCCACCCAGTCCCTTGTCAGAACCCTCCTTTTGGGGGTGTTAGAAAGTAAAAGCAACTGAGGCTTAAGTCAGGTAAATATGATGAATGCCCAGAAGTAAATATTACTTGAGTCAACTCCTACGTTACAAAGCACAGCATCAACTCTCTTCCTATGTCTATACAAAAAAGTCATTACTAAATAAACCATGCAAATGATATAAAGGAAAGAGAAAAGCAATATAGGATTATCAGTGCTTGATGGAATTGGGTGAGTAACTCAATAAACCTAAACTCCCTGCAGGAGGAGCAAGGCCAAACCAATATTATCCAACAACAGGGGCCCCCCAAGCATGGCCTTTAAGCTGTTAAGTATCTCCAAACACTGCTGGGCATGACCTCAAAACAAAAAACAAAAAAATAAAATCATACCAAGAATCATTACAATGAAATTGGCGATATCAAAGAGAAAACAACTCAAAAGATTATGTTGGTCAAATCTAATCCAAAGAAAAAAAGGTAACTTCAATCTAATCAAAAATTTCTGGTAGGACCAGAAAGATAGCTCAAAGGATTGAGCACAAGCTTTACATGTAGTAGGCCCCAGTTCAGTGCCCTGTATTACAAGACCTCCTGAGTACCACATCACTGAATTGGTGCAAAAATACAAACAAAATTAAAGTAAGTATCTGGGGCCAGAGAAATAGTATAGGGGTTAAGGCACTTTCCTTGCATGCATCCATTCCAGCTCTATCCCTAGCACTCTGGCACTGCATGATCCCCAAGCACAGAGCCAGGAATAGCCCTGTTAGAACTGCTGAGTGAGGCCCAACATCCCAAAGCACACACAAATTTTAGTGAAGTACATCAAGCTGAACTGTTCTCATTTTGTAGTAATCTTTGTTTGCTGATATCTCTAACATAGTCTATCAGGCAAGTAACCACAACCAAAATACAATTGAGAGTTACGGTAAAATCCACTGTTACACTGTTCAGCTCACAAATGGCCAACACTCAAGTCAGGAATCTTTGTGTTTTATACTTCATTAATTGCTAATGCAATTTCTAGAACACGTAACTGTTTGTACACACGTGAATGAATTAAACTCAATTTGTCCTCAGTACATTGTTCTATGTACCAAAGAACATGATGATGAGAAGGCATAGCCAGAGGACTAAATGACTGTTCCCAAGCTGGGTTACGAGGTAAGCCTTATCACAAGTGCAAAAACAATGCCACCACCCATCTTGGAATTACCTCATAGCGGAACACAAAACAAGTTTGAATTACTTACTCTGAGTTTCCACAAGATCCAAAGCAACACTAGAAGCTGTGTCCATTCCGGAGCTGATGCAGGCCTGGAAGTTCTTCAAGGAGGAGAGAGCGGATTCTACACCGCTGAATGATATAAAACCAGTTGAGCCTGAATTTAAACTGGAACGCCCTGGCATCTTGAAATTACCTGAGTTTCAAACACAACAAAAGCAAGATTTACGAATCAGAAAAACTGCATAGGAAGGTAAGTTAGCTGCATATACCTACAGGAATGTGCCCACTATCCTACTGGTAGCACACTATCATCTATGTCAAACACCCCTTGGGTGGATACCAAAACATTGTGCCATCACTGGGCCACCCAACACAGACGTACTCAATAGAAGTGGAACTAGAATATCTTTTATATTCTAGTGGATTTTTATTTTTATTTATTTATTTCTTTTTGGCGAGAGAGGGGGATTGGGATTGGTTTGGTTTGAGGTGGGGGAGGGTTGGGGGATTGTTGTTGTTGTTTGGTTTGGGGGCTATACCCAGTAGTGCTCAGGGCTTATTCCTGGCTCTGCACTTAAGAATTACTTCTGGCAGTGTCTAGTGCACCAAATGGGATACTGGGGATCAAACCTGGGTCAGCCCCATGGAGGGCACACACCCTACCTGCTGTACTATCACTCTGGCCCAAATGTCTTTTGTTTGAGGGAGGCAGCATACTTCCCAAGCAATGATTTATGATCGTCAGTCAACTAGGCCAGTGGTTCCATGGTGGTACCAGAAATCAAACCAGGGTCAGCCACAAGCAAGGCATGTGATTTAACCCCTGAGTTTCTTTGATCCCTTAATGTCTTCATTTTCATAAAGAGATATGGGCTGAGGGTGTACTTCAGAGCATTTGCCTTGCATGTTCAGGGCCATGGTACAAGCCTCAGCCCTGGAAAATAAGAAAACAGAAGAATACCCTCTTCCAAAAGGTCCCTGACACTGAAGAATTCTACGATAGCATAATTCTTTAAAATCCAAAACAGAAATGGATTGGGGGAAAACATCAGGTGCTCACAATATAGTTTTTATACAAACAAAAATAAAATTATTTTATAAAGAAATTTGGGCTGGAGCGATAACACAGTGGGTAAGGTGTTTGCCTTGCACGCCACCGACCCGGGTTCAATTCCTCCGTCCCTCTCGAAGAGCCTGGCAACCTACTGAGTTTCCAGCCCCCACAACAGAGCCTAGCAAGCTCCCCATGGCGTATTAAATACGTCAAAAATAGCAACAAAACAAGTCTCACAATGGAGACATTACTGATGCCCGCTTGAGCAAAATCAATGAACAACCGGAGGACAGTGCTACAGTGGACAATGCATAAAGAACTCTGAAAACCTCCCATTTGGGGGGGGGGGGGTGGCTGGAGCGATAGCACAGCAGGTAGGGCATTTGCCTTGCACGTCGCCGACCCAGGTTCAATTCCCAGCATTCCATATGGTCCCTGAACGCCACCAGTAGTAATTCCTGAGTGCAGAGCCAAGAGTAACCCCTGTGCATTGCCGGGTGTGACGCAAGAAAGCAAGAAAGAAAACCGGCCATTTTTAAGTTCTCTGAGACATATGCTTGAAGTATAAAAGCAGTAAAATATACTTATCCCTAACAGTTCATCTAGTTCTAACAGAGTTCTAGATCTAATGAGATTTTAGTCTATATAATACAATTTTTAAAGAAAGATTTTGGACCTGAAAGCCAGCCGCCACTGGGACACCGGCTTGGGGCACCTGCCTCCACTTGCACAGCAAGAGCCAGCCCAACTAGTCACCATCTCTCCCCAATAGGTCTGCTCCCGCTTGACGCTCCCACCACCCAAACTCTGGATCCTGAAAGCCAGATGCCAACAGGACCCAGGCCTAGGGCACCTGCCTCCACTTCCGCATCGAGCACCAGCCCAACTAGCCGCCACCCCTCCCCAACAGGTCTGTGGAGTAGTATCTGGACTGGCTGGGGGCGTGGTCACCACTGTGGGGGTGTGGCCTCCTCAGATGTGGGCGGGGCCTCTTCAAAAGTGGGTGTGTCCTTCTCCGAGGTGGGCAGCCGGTCACCGCTGCAGCTACATTTCCTACTCCCACCACTCTTGACTTTCATCCCAGCCCTTATCACTAATTCTGTGGGAAAATTCCTAGCCACCTCAACTACAACAATTATCCACTGGCCTACTGCAGTTCTAACAAAAGACCAGTTCGCAAGTAGCTGTACAAGCCAATATTAAAAGAACACCTCCAAAGTTTGTTTAACCAGTAATCTGTTCTCGGGCACTCAGGTTTTTTCCAGATTCTAGCTATTGTAAACAGTGCTGCAATGAACAAACAAGTGCAGATGTCACTTCGACTATACTTTTTTGCCTCTCTGGGATATATTCCCAGGAGTGGTATTGCTGGGTCAAATGGAAGCTCAATTTCTAATTTTTTGAGAATTGTCCATACTGGTTAAAGAAACTTTGGTACATTTGCACAATGGAGTACTATGTAGCTGTTAAAAAAGATGAAGTCATGAAATTTACATACAAGTGGCACTACATGGAAAGTATCCTGTTAAGCGAAATGAGTCAGAGAGGGATAAACACAGAAAGATTGCATTCATCTGGGGAACATAAAGTAACAAAATAGCAGACTAACACCCACAAGTGGCCGAGATTAGTACCAGGAATTTTGCTCCATTGGAGGCCAGCCACACATGCTAGGGGCAAAGGGAGCTTAGATAGAGAAAGGAGAACCAAATAAAGGGTGTTGGGAGGATCCTCCCAGGATGGGAGAAGCATGCTGAAAGTAGACTATAGACCAAACATGATTGCTACTCAATGTCTCGTTTGCAAACCACAACACCCAAAAGGAGAGAACAAAAGGGAATGCCCTGCCACAGAGGCAGGGTAGGATGAAAGGGACAGGGGGTGGGAGGGATACTGGGATCTGTGGTGGTGGGAAATGGGCACTGGTGGAGGGATGGGTACTTGATCATTGTATAACTGAAACCCAAGCACAAAAATTTGTAGTATACAACTGTACCTCATGGTGTTTCACTAATAAAATTTTTTTTTAAAAATTAAAAGAACACCTCCTCCAAAGCTTCACTAGATGCCCATCATAAGCCAAAGAATAATGCCTGAGAGGAAGGTCAGACTCTAGAAAGGGAGAAGGGTGATCACCATTAATCGACCTTATCCAGAATCTTTTCCCACGATAAGAGGAAACAGTGCTAGTGAATTCCAGGGTTCTTCCTCTAGACAACCAAAACAACATGAAGAAACAGCACAAATCTCCACTATAAGAAGAGGATGAAGAAAAGAGCCCCGAATCCTCAACCGAGGTTATCCACAAATATGCTCTCTCCAATAAAGAATTCCAAGATGAAATGCAGAAAATGGTCAAGAAACTACTCAAAGAATAAATGGAGGATATACCCAGAAAACTAAAGAATGAAATGAAAGAAACAATAGTATGGATAGTCGAGAAAAAAAAAGGAAGAAATGGGAGCAGAAATAAAAAAGTTACAAAAAGAAGTGTCACAAATAAAGGATTCGGTAGACAAAATTAAAAACTCAGTTGGTCATAAAGTAACAAAATAGGAGACATAGCTGAGATAAATAGCAGGAGGTTTATTCCATGGCTTGGAGGCCAGCTTCACACTCTAGGAGTAAAGGCAGCCCAGATGTAGAAGGGAGCACCAAATGGGGGGTATTGGAAGGATCCCCCAGGATGGGAGAAGCATGCTGAGACTAGACGCTAGACCAAACATGTTGCCACTCGATGCCTCTTTTGCAGGCCATAGCACCCAAAAGGAGAGAGAGAACAAAAGGGAGTGCCATGCCACAGAGGCTGGGTGGGATGGGGGGATAAGGGAGGTAGGAGGGGTACTGGGATCTGTGGTGGTGAAAAATGGGCACTGGTGGAGGGATGGTACTCGATCATTGTACAACAGAAACCCAAGCACAAAAAATTTGTAAGCCTACAACTGTACCTCATGGTGTTTCACTAATAAAAAAAAAAAAAAATTTAAAAAAAAAAGAAAAAAAAAACTCAGTTGGTGAGCTCAGCAGTAGGATGAATACAGCTGAAGACAGAATCAGTGAGCTTGAAGATGAGCAGCAGAAATAGCATAGGGAACAACAAACAATGGGAAAAGACCTCAAAATAGCGCTAAGAAAAATCAGAGACGTAGGGGATGACGCCAAGAGGAACAACATTAAAATCATCGGAGTTCCAGAAAGACAGGGAGACAACCCCAACAAAAAAGCCAAAGTCAAAGAAATCATTGCTGAAAAGTTCCCAGAGTTAAAGAATGCAGACATCCAGATCCAAGGAGTCAGAAGGGTGCCAGCTAAGAGACCCAAATGAAAACACTCCAAGGCATATCATAGTCAGAATAATAGATGCTGTAGACAGAGACACAGTACTGCAAATTACATACAAAGGAGCACCCCTTAGGTTTACAGACTTATCAGAGGAAACCCTCCAAGCCCAAAGACAATGGTGGGATATAGTGAAAAAAACTCAATGAACTGAACGCCTCACCAAGAATACTTTATCCAGCTAAACTCTCACTAAAACTTGATGGAACTATATACCATTTTGTAGATAAACAAAAGCTCAGGAACTTCATAGACTCAAAACCAAATCTAAAAGAAGGATTAAAGGGGCTCCTGTAAGATAAAAAGGAAAACACTTAGAAACACAACCAAACCCTACAGAAAGATGCACAAAACCCCATGACAATAATCTTTCAATGTCAATGGTCTAAATGCACCAATCAAGAGACACAGAGTAGCAAAATGGATCCAGAAACTGAAACCAACATTCTGCTGTCTACAAGAAACACATCTGAACAATCAGAGCAAACACAGACTCAAAGTGAAAGGATGGAAAACAATTCTGCAAGCAAACTGCTCCCTCAAAAAAGCTGGGGTGGCCATACTAGTATCCAACAACATAAATTTCAGGTTGAAAAAGATTAGAAGGGACAGTGAAGGCCATTTTCTATTCATCAAGGGATATGTACAACAGGAAGAAATCGCACTCTTAAATGTATACGCACCTAATGAGGGAACAGCTAACTACTTAAAACAATAGCTTACATATTTTTAAGGAGGGCATTACTAGCAAAACAATAGTAGCTGGAGACTTCAACATTGTCTTAACACCTCTGGATATA